GAAACATAAATGAAGAGAACAATCCAAAAATAAATGTAAAGGAGTTGTTTCTTTGAGAAAATCAGCAAGAGACAAATCCTTACCCACAAATAAGTAAAAGAGAGAGAAAGAATATCTAAATCGACAAAATTAGAAATGAAAAGATGGGGAATAATCATAGATACCAAAGAAATCCAAGGAATCATTAGGTCATACTTTAAAAACCCACATTCCAAAAAATTGGGAAGTCTAAATGAAATGAATAGTTTTATTGATAGATTTATTGGCATTGTTAAATCATTATAAAATTAACAGGTTAAATAGTCATATAACACCAAAGGAAATTGAAGCAGTCATTAAAAATCTCCCAACTGAAAAAAACACAGGGCCAGGTGGTTTCATTGCAGAACTCTACCATAATTTCAAAAAAGAACTAATACCAATACTCCTAAAGTTATTCCACAAAACAGAGACAGACGGAACACTACCAAATTCATTTTATGAGCCACAGTAACCGTGAAACTCAAACCACACAAACGATTCAGCAAAGAAAGAGAATTATAGACCAATTTTCTTCATGAACATGGATGGAAAAATACTCAATAAAATAATTGCAAACCAAATCCAAGAACATTTAAAAAGAGCATATATCATGTTCAAGTAATCTTCCTCCAAAAGATGCAGGGATGGTTCAATTGGATTGTTTGGTGTTTTGGAGACTTGCTTCTTGAGCTCTTTGTAAATTTTGGAGATCAACCCTCTGTCAGATGTGGGGTTAGTGAATATTTCTTCCCATTCTGTGGGCTGCCTTTTTTGTCTTGCTGACTGTGTCCTTTGCCTTACAGAAGCTTCTCAGTTTCAGGAGGTCCCATTTATTAATTGTTGATCTCACTGTATGTGCTCCCACTGCTAAGTACTGAGCTGAACTCAAAAAGCCAGTAACAGAGAGGGAGGACTGATGACCAAAGGGATTAAGACTGGGCTGGTTTAACCCCCAGAAACAGCTGACCTGACAAGGGTTAACTCTTGAATCCCAGGCATCAGCCTGGGAATCCAGCATGGGACTTATCAAGACCCCCTGAATGTGGGTGTCAGTGAGGAGGCCTAGGTAATCTATTGAGCCTTGGGCAGGAGATCAGTACCCATCCCGAGTATACACACTTGGACTTTGGACTCGCATACAACAATGTGAGATGCACTCTCACCCTGAACTCTTGGGGGAGGGTCTAGGCCCTGCCCTGGATGAAATGACAGACTATGGACACCCCCATGGAGGGCCCCACCCTTCCTGGGGAAATGAGGGGATATTGGGGAGGCTGGGGGCAGGGCATGGGAGGAGGGGAGGTAAAGGGAGAGGGACCTGGAACTGACTTGTGAAGCAACCTTGTTTCTAATCTAAATTTAAACTGAAAAATAAAGATAAAAAAGGATCATACAGAAACACAATAAAGGCAATTTGCAGTAAGTCAATAGTCAATATAAAACTATCGTAGAGAAGTTTAAAGCAATTTCAGTAAAATCAGGAACTAAACAAGGCTGTCCACTTTCTCCATATCTAATCAATATAGTAATTGAAGTTCTATTTGGAGTAATAAGACAACTGAAGGAGTTCAAGAGAATATAAATTGGAATGGAAGAAGTCAGAATAGCATTATTTCAGATTATATTATAATTTGCATAATAGACACAGAAATTCAAACAAGGAACTCCTACAGCTGATAAATATCTTTACTGAAGTAGATAAATACATGATTAACTAAAAAAAAGTCAGTAACCCTTCTATATACAATTGCCAAATGAGCTGAGAAAGAAATCCAAGAAAGGACACACTTCAAATTAGTAACAAAGAGTATAAAATAACTTGGGGCAACACTAACCATGAAAGAGAAAAACTTGTATGACAGTTTTGAAGGAAGAAATTGAAGATGATATCAGAAGATGGAAAGATTCCCACATTCTCATGGACCAGGAGGATTTGGTGCAATCCCCAGAAACATTTCAATATAATATAATCCTTACAGAATTTGATAAAAACACTTCTCAGCTTCATATGAAAAAACAAAATACCCAGGATAACTAAAACAATACTCTACAATAAAAGAGTATCCAGAAGTATCACCATCCACGATTTACAGCTATACTAAAGAGTTATACTTATAAAAACCACATGGTGTTGGCATAAAAACAAACATGTTGTTCATTACAGATGAATTGAAGACCCATACATGAATCCAAACACTTATGGATACCTGATTTTTTTTTAAAATAAAGAAGCCAGAAATACAACTGGAAAAAAGAAAGCATTATCAACAAATGGTGCTTGTCTAAATGAAATTCAGCATTTATAAAAATTTAAACTAATCCATATCTATCACCCTACATAAAACTCAAGTCCAAGGATAACAAAGACATCAACATAAAAGCAGACCCTCTGAACATAGTAGGAGAGAAAGTGGGGTATAGCTTTGAAGAGGGGGACATCTTACTGAACAGAACATTGATAGCATAGTCAATAAAATCCATAATCAATAAAAGAATCTCATGAAAATGAAAAGCTTCTCTAAGATAATGGATACCACCATTAGGAAAAAGGAGAATGGAAAAATATTTTCACCAACTCCATATCCAACAGAGGGCTAATATCCAAACTACATAAATAATTCAATAAAATTAGTAAAAACTTATCCAATTAAAAATGAGATACAGATCTAAACAGAAGCTTTCAACTAAGAAATCACAAATGACTGAGAAACAATTTATGAAACATGAAAAACTCAACATCCTTAGCTATCAGGAACATGCAAATCAAAACAACGTTAAGATTTCATCTTGTTCCTGTCTGAATGACTTAAGATAAAAAACACAAGTGACAACTCATGCTGGAAAGGATATGGCAGCATAGAGAACACTCCTCTTTGCACTCCCTCGAGTGAAAACTTGAACAGAAACTCTGGAAATCAATATAGAGGTTCTACAGAAACTGGGAATTGGTCTTCAAAAAACCTTGCCATACAAGTTTTGGGCATATACCTACAGAACACCTGCTCAACTATGTTCATAGATAAAAAATCACTATGAGTGAGGTAACCAAGACACAGAAGAGCAAAGAAGGAATTTACTCACTTATAAGTGGACAATAGCTGTTATGTAAAGGATAATTATGCTATAATCCACAGACCAAGAGAGGCTAAGTAACAAGGAGACGAGGTGGCATGTGGATCTCCATGGGAAGGGGAATTAGAGTAAATTTTGTGGGCAGACTTGGGGTTGTTGTGAATGGAAACAGAAGGGTTCATGCTGGACAGTGTTTAAATGGATAGAGAGAGTACCTGGAGAGACAACTGGAATGCAGGGGATAATGTATAAACCTGGTACAGTGAAAACTCCCTACCATCTATGAGAGTGACTCTCATGAAGTCTCCTTATTAATGGGGGTTACAGAGAGGGAGGCCACACCTGAGACTGTGTGAATGGACAGGAACCGGAGGCTGGGTAGCCCAGAGACCTAGGATACCAAGTACAATTGGGAAGTCAACGATATGATTGATTTCAAATGATATGCTGCATACTCATAGAACAATTTCTAGCCCAGTTGTCATCACAAAGGTCATTGTCCAGCAACTGACAAGAGAGACCCACGGCCAAACACTAAGCAAAGCTAAAGTAAACTTTAGAAGCAGGGGAGGAACCAGATTTTAGGAACCAGAGGAGTCTGGGACATCATGAGAACACGACCCACGGAATCAATTAAGCAGGGCTCACAGAGGCTCACAGAGACTGAAGCAACATCACAGACCCTTTATGGGTCTGACTAGGTCCCCTGCATGGATGCTATGGTTGTATACTTTGGTGTTCTTCTGGGACCCTGACAAGTGGGAGTGGGGGTTTTCTCTGATGCTTTTATGTATGCATGGGAACCTTTTCCTCATACTGGGTTGCCTTATTCAATATTTATACGAGCACTTTTGCTTAGCCTATTGTAATTTGCTATGTCATATTCAATTAGCTGGCCTGCTTTTTTATTTTTTTTTAAATGATGAGGAGTAGATCTAGGGTATAGAGGAAGCAAAGAGGGGATTGACAGGAGGATAAATTGGGGAACTTTGTTTAAGATGTAATATATGTAAAGAGTTAATAGGAATAAAGTATTTATAATTTTAATTATGGCTTTTTAAAGCATGATCAGGGGTTTCCCAGTAATCTGTAAGTAACTATAGTGAGTCAATGAAGTATTTTATTCTTCCCCTAAGATACTGTCTCAATTTGCCTTCTGCTTGATCCGCAATCCCATTGTCAGCTCCGTAAGTGAAAAAGCCACCTCCGAGTCCTTGATCATTGAACGTTGTCCCACTGCTTCAGAAATTCACACTCTCAGCTTCATGGGACTTTGTCAGTATCATGCATGCTATTAGTCTTCTCCTCTATGTAATTGACAATGCTTTTCTTTATTGGAATCAATTCCCTTGTTATTACAAAGTCTTAAGAGTTACACATGACTTCATATACATGTAGGATTTTTACTATTATTCCTTCCTCAAATAACATGGCTTAATATATTCATTCCTTAGAAATTCACACCTTAGTGTTTTTTCCAGTTTTCTTATCATATTGTTAATAAAGTCAGTCTAGAAAATGATGTTTGCCCATTATCCACTCATACTCCTTGGGCATGCTCCACTTTAGGATGTAATAACCTCTGTTTGTTTTCCACACTAGAAGATAATAATAGCAAATTAAAAATCTGAATATTGGCTTAGAGTTCTTCATGTGTATCTTATGTTCTAAGCAAGAAAAGCCCAAACCACAGATGCTTGAAATGTCCTATGGAGACCAAATTTGTAATTGATATTTAATAAAATCCTATCACCCATTCTAAATTGTTAACCTATTTGTCCATCCAAAACCTTGATTATTGTTTATAATACTTTAATAAGAGTAGGACACCTGCTACATTTAGTAAAACATTATGCAGCAAATGCATTCTCCTACTTTTCAGATAAATTATATTGCAGCTGTCTTACCTCCACCCCACCGCAGGCATCTTGCTAGGTCATTGCCAGTTCCAAGAGGCAGAATAGCAACTGGAGGGTGTTTAGCTACATTGGCCTTTTCTGTGTAAGTGGACAATGAAAATAAAAATGTTAAACCAAATTGACCAATAGTAGCAAGGTAACAAGCTTACATTGAATAAATAATTCCACAAAATACATGTAAATAGCAGCAAGTTGAATTTTATGAATGATATTTAAAATGGCAATGTTTTTATGCAGTTGTGGTAACTGGCATATTAGATAAATATATATCATATATCATTCTTCAGAAAGTAGCAGATTTTTCATACTCCATGCATAAGAAAAACCTCTTAAATATTTCAACATAACTCAAAATTATGTCATGTGTGTATGTTCCCTTCTCTTTTATCTTTACTAAAAAACACAAGAAGGCAGGTAAATGAAACATAGGAATACATGTCGCCAGGAAACATAGGTCGGGTCCTATATAGACTTCTTTTGCAGCATCAACTGTAAAGACATTCTATTTTCTTTAAGAACAGTAGAATTCTAAAAACAAATACTGAGTAATTCTGATCAATTGTTCCTATCCACAGCATTGCAAAATTTCAAAGCAAAGGAACAGAGCATTACTATTGGATTACCTTACAACACAAGGTTTGTTTGCTTATCATTTATTTAGCTATACATAATAGCTTGTGTTTGTGTGGGCTTTTGTCAAGTCCCACCAGGTAGTCCAGTCCATACCTGACACAGGGGGTATGGATTGAGGAAAGGAAAAGCAGGAGACAGAGATAGCGTCGGGAGGGCATTCAGTGAATACTGAATGCCATGTTTGTTGTGTATAGTCTTTTTATAGCCCCATCAAAAGAGTGGGAGAAGGCAAAAGACTTTCTTACAAAGATATGAAGAACAAGCAAGCATAACTATCTTCTCAGTATTCAAACAACAAGTAACTATCTTCTGAGTTATTTTGTTGTTTAGACAGTACATGTAGCCACCACAGTATTCCCTGAATGCCTTCCTGACTCTATCTCTGTCTCTTGCCTATTCCTTTCCTTAATTACAGTCCCCCTCTTAGGTATGGACTGGACTAGCTGGCAGGACTGGACAACAGCCCTCACAAGCATGGGCTACAAGAGATGGTACCGCAAAGTGAGCCTGAGCACGGCAGACAGGAGTAATGGACATCGCAGATGGAAAACGTTGAGAAAGCTAGTGCTGGGATATAAGTAAAATGAAATGCAGTGAGCTTATCCCTGAGTAAAACATTCGAATGCAAAAATTATAGATAATTGTAGACAAGGTTCAGCATAATAGTAGTCAACTGATTATATAGCTACTTGGTGTGGTTGTTGTATGTCCTGGCTAAACAACAAAATACTTAACTAAGAGACAGTTACTTGATGTTTGGGGTATGAAGCTGATTATGCTTGCTTGTTCTTTATATTTTTGTAAAACATTTCTCTTGCCTACTCCCTCTTTTTTTTGATGGGGGTTTTAAAAGACTGTTAACAATGAACAGGGGTGGTTCAGTTTTCACTGGATGCCCTTCCTGCTCTATCTTTCCTACCCTGCTTAACCTTTCCTCAACCACACTCCCTGGTCTCAGACACTAACCTGACAAGTCCACACAAACAACACAGGCTACGGCAGCTTCACCTTTATATCTCATAGTACTTTAGGCTCCAAGCAGTATAAATCTGTCGGCACAGTTCCATGTGCTTTTATGTGAGCCATCACATACCTTGAGAAAATATCACAAACACATATTTTCTTTCCATTTCCCACATAAGTTCATAAAGCATGTGTATGACCCATCTGATGAGGTGTTGTGGATAAACACAGTGTGCAACACCACTGAATTTGGGGGATACAAAGAGCCAAGAATTCTTAGGGTTTTCATTTTAAAATCCTTACCAGTGTATAACCAATTATCAATTTGTTGAGTCATTATGTGATTCTTGAATTTTAGTTTTTTCCCATAGAAATAACAAATATTTTCTATCATTTATTAGAATGCCAATGCCAGAATTTTCACTGACTATTTTCATGCAATACTCATAGATTAAATTGTTAGATTTATAAAAAAAAAAGTTTTGATGGCAACATGTACTTTGATGGCAACTGGAGGATAGGAGGGGCCCTCCAGGCTGGGACTAATGACTGCCACTCCACCATGACATTTTCAATTTGAAAGGCTTTTCCACAAATAACAAAACAGAATGTTCTGATTTTCACTTCTTTAAAAGCAAAAAGTGTGTATTTTATAGAGAGAACATAATTTGTTTGAATTAGTATTTGTTTGGAACCTGAAACTACTAAAAATTACTCAAGTTAAAGACTAAGATAAATTTTAGAAAATATTTGCTTAAAATATATCAGCTTCTAAATGTCAAGTTTTATACTGTTACTATGTCCCAACAAGGGGCACATCTGAAAAAATGCAAAAGTTTTCAGAATTCATCCATCCAGATACTTGATTGACTGAAAGACTGACAGATGGCAGAAAACAAGCAGAAGGGTACTAGGCTCACCCAAGCCACATCAAACACAGGTCTTCATTACCTATGCAATCCAAAATCCAGCCCACCGTCCCATCTCCACCGCATGCTAACACTCTGAAGTCAGGGACATCCCGGAAAAAGTGTAACCTGAAAAATAATATTTTATGGCACATAATTTACATTTCAGGAGAACATCTCATGGTTTTTTATTCTTAGCTTTTTCTCTAGTGAATTATATTTTAAACTCATGAAAGTTTCAAATATTTCATTGCTATCTTACCTATCATTCAAGCAATTTTTGTGAATATATATTCCAGATTCTGTCCTTTAAAATTGCTTAAATTTATAATTTCCAGGTTCTATAGAGTATAGAACTTATTTTTGTAAATAGCCAAATTAAAAAATCCAATATTAAATTATAACATTCATTTGGACATCCTCCCGGATGTGATCAAAGCATACACAATTCCGACTAGCAAATGTGATAGAATTTCTTTAGTAAGTTTTGTCAATCAGGCATTTTCTTTCTAACAATTATTTAGAAATGATTATCACATCAGTCAGTATGATGTGTTCAACACTCTTCGTTTTCCATAACTGGGAGATATTGTTCAGCCTGAAGTTAGGATTTTTGCTTTCAGAATTTCCTTATGACTTTCAATCTGCCAATAAGGAAGCCAAACATCACTCCCCTTGTGTCTGACCAGGTCCACAGACTCACTACCCAGGAGTGCTCAAATTTAATTGCTGGGTCAGCTGTGTTAAATGCTCACTGCTCCTGTTACCACTGCATGCGGTGAACTCATTAACACAACCTGCTCAAGGAAAGTCACAAAGGCAGCTAATGTATCCAGTCATGAAACTCTGTATGCTATTTTGCAGCCAATAAGACAGGGGAGCAGAGCAGAAGCTGATTTACCTCCAGCATTGGGAACAATACGGTGTGGGACCACCAAAGTGATTTTCCTCTACATTGGGTATTCATATACAAATAGCCATCTACAAAGCTTCATTATGGATACTGTATATTTCATTTACTTTAGAATTTTACTGAGAAAATGTCTCACTTGAGAAAGTGAGAGGGAGGGAGAGGAAGAAAAAAAAGGGAGGAAGGGTGCGTGAGAGAGAAAATGGGGGGGGAGGGCTCAGTGCCTACATATGTGAATGGCAATGGAGGCTACAATAACTTGGCATACAGTTAGACCCAATGATAACAGTGTGGTGTGGATGCTAGTCTGGTCCCTCAGTAAAGCAGAAGGTACTCTTAAATCTCTGAACCTTGTCTTCATGGTTACCGCACTCATTGTAAACATCAGTGAGAGCGACTATATACATATTTGAAAAATATTTTAGCTTAACACATGACTAAAAGATCTTTCTGTATTCGCACTACCTGCAGATGTATAGGATTCTTTTTTTTGATGCAAAACCAAAGAGTCTTTTATTGTAGTTGTTTAACAAGTGAGCCCATTAGCTTGGGCCCTTCATCCATCCACCATGGCGGATGGCTGGAGAAAGACGACGAGTACATTCGAGTTAGATATCTTTCTTTGTTGTGTTTTTGTTTTTGATTTTTGAGACAGGGTTTCTCTGTATTGTTTTGGAGGCTGTCCTGGACCTGGTTCTGTAGACCAGGCTGGCCTTGAACTCACAGAGATCCACCTATCTCTGCCTCCCAAGTGCTGGGGTTAAAGGTATGCCACCAAGCCTGGCCTGGAGATCATTTGTTTGTTTGTTTGTTTTATTTTAATTTTAAATAGCTTGTTTCACATGACAATCCCAGTTCCCTCTCCTTCCCCTCCTCCCGCACCCCTCCCACCATCCCCCACCCCAGCCTCCCACCCTAACACCACTTCCTTCCACATAGGGGATATCTAGAGTCTGTCATTTCACTCAGGGCAGGGTCCAGGCACTCCTCTAAGAGTCCAGGCTGAGAGAGCAACTCTCTTTGTGTTATGGACATACGAAGTCCGTTTGTATGCCAGGGATAAACACTGATCCACTGCCCAGGGCCCCATAGGTTGCCCAGGACTCCTCACTGACTCTCACATTCAGGGGATCTGGATCAGTCCCATGGTGGCCTCCCTGCTGTGGGTCTGGGGTCCAAGAGCTCTCCCCTGTTCAGATCAGCTGTCTCTGCTGGTTTTGCTAGCCCATTCTTTGCCAATGTAATCATCGCTCCTCTCTCTCTGTTGCTGGGTTCCTTGGGTTCAGTTCAGTGTTTAACTGTGGGTGTTTGCCTCTGCTTCCATAAATCACTGGATTAAGGCTCCGGGATGGTTATAGACATCGAGTTCATTATCAGGAATGGGCATTCGAGGTGGTCTCTCCACTATTGCTTAGCTTGCCAATTGGTGTCATCCCTTTAGATCACTAGAGGTCACAATGGTGCCTGATCCGTCTTCTAACCTATGATTCCCTCTTCCCCTTGTTCTACCCCACACTCAGCTTTCCTGTTCCCCCTGACCTACTCTCTCTTCCTATTCTCCTCCTCTCTTCTTCATAGATTTAGTTATTTATGAAAGTCTTTACGGTTCCAATGGCGTTGTGCTCTGTGGGAGTAGCCGCATTAGTTGTCACACGAGTGAATGCATTCCAATGTTAAACAATTTGCTTTTATGACCTTTTAAACTGTGTCTGTTATTTCATTATTATGGCCTGGAGAAGTGGCTAAGTGGAAAAATTACTTCCTTGGCATGTGTGAGGTGCTAAGTTCAGTCCCCAGTAGCATAAATTTTCAAAACCTGTTTTTTTCACTGTTATGGAAATTATTATTGTAGTTACTATCTGAGTCACATTTGCGTGTGTGTGAATGCTGTTTTAGAATGCAGTATTCTGCTACATTTACTGTATTGCTCTTAATGACTCCCAGTGTGGAACGAGTGTCCAATTCCTTACAATCCTTGAATAGTAAGAATATTTGAATATTACAATATGGCTTCCGAGAGTTTAAACACCAGTTAATTGTGTATGTGTGTGTATGTGTGTGTGTGTGTATTTATTGTAATATCTCTGTTTAGAACATAGTTCAGCATTCCCATAAGAATCTTGGAGACATGTGATCTTTCCATAAATAGTATTACCAAACCTTGATAACCTTTTCAGTTGACTGTTAATGCTATATGAAAAATACTTATATATTATGAGTGATATTTCATATTTAATTAAATTTTTAAAGATATTTTGAAAGCTATTCAAACAGTATGTAATTATATTAGAAACTGCATAAAATTTAAATGAAACCAACATACGTCAATAAAATCATAGATATCTAGCATGGACATTTCATTCATTTCTTTGGGTATTTGTTTATATTTACTCTCTGCTGTATATGTTGCAAATATTTTCTTCCATTCTTTCACTATTTGATGTGCCTTCAGTATGCACACTGGATGAATGCCTTGGTACCAGTCTCCCACTTTAACAAAACACACGAGAGAACCTGTGTATGCTTCTGTCTTTTTTCATACAACAGTTCTCTCTCGCTTACACAGGTCTGCTCATCTGAGGACTGGGATGCCATGTTTACATTATTCAGCATTCTGCATCATTTCCCAGCACTAGTACTAACTTTCATCAGTCTTGTTGCTCTAGACATTTCTATGTATAACTGTTTCTTTTTTATTTCTATGAATATGTGAAATTCCAATTATGTGAACATTCTTTTCAAATCCATTTCAAGAGGCACTTGGGCTGGTAGAATCATGTTGTTACAGAGATGCTCAATGTATGTTCTGTTTGCTATTACAAGCAGTGTTTACTTGGAGACTATAATAATATGCAACATTACAAAACAATGCAATTCACTTGATAAAGACATCAAGCAAATGTCCTAACAAATGTAGTCCACTTAGTCCATTTCAATATTTTGGTTCTTTATTTTTTAATTGCTTAAAAAGAATAATTTCAATTGCTCTCTATTCCTTTAATTGCTGTTAAAATTTTCTTAATTGTTCTGATTTTAATCATTTAATTTTTATTTTGCAGAAATCTTTTATGAATAATATTTACTTAAATAACCATTGATAGGGATTTCAATGAAAATGAAATTATAAGGTATTCAAGTTTATAAGTCTCTTATGAATGAGACTGGGGTAAATGAATGCTCACAATTTGCTACAAGAAAGGACTTCTCATACTGTTTTCCTTTCCCTTTGTCTTCTTTCTACTTTTGTGTTAGTCTAGCAAGTTTTCCTGGTTATAGTTATTCACTTTTGCATTTATTAAGTAACTGTTTCCATCCAGACAACTGCAACTTAAACCTAATGTGAAAGTATGAGAACAATTCACTCTATTCTGCCCTTTCATGGATTTATCCATCTGTGCCTCAGTGCTGTTCTCTTCCAATCACTTTTTCTTTTAGGAAGTGTATATGTCAAAGGACATGAAGAAACTTGGCTTAAATTCTTTGCTTTTAGAAACATGCTTTTAAAGTAAGCTGATATTCTACAAAAATAAGAATAAGAAAAAGCCAAGTTCAATCGAGGTTAAAGATATACAGCTAATTACAAGTATGATGAAATTCCTCTTATTTGAATGTAAGATACTGGATATACCTAATTATTACTTAGTATTTTTCAATGAAGTTTTAAATTTCAGAATACAAATATTAAATATTGCATATGTTTTTATGTCTGTTCCAATAGATTTATTTGCATTTCATATATATTTCAAGTTATGTTTGCTGATACTAGTGTTATTTGTTGCTGGGATACAATTTGAGTATTATATATAGTTTATAAAGACAGTCATATTAATATTTTAGCCTGTATTTTATTTATATTTTTATACATACTAATTAAAATAGCATCAGTGATTTTAGTTTTATAATACGTCTGTTTCTCTTTTCATTTTCCTTGCTACAGTTCTAGTATTGAGTCAAATATGAATATTCATACAAACTAAGCATATTAGTTCTTTCTTCTCATCCTACTGGCAAATACATATCTACATCACTGTAGAAAGATAAGACATGGCCTGCTAACTTCCGTGAAGACTTTTCTTCTCCTTATCCATAAAATTTTTACCATATTTATATTGCTAAAGTGTTGAAATGCACTATAACATCTTGCACTTATGAAAAATGTATGTATTTTGTAAATTATTAAATATGGTAATATTTGGATAAAATAATGTCTAGTAATTTC